AGCGGTTGTGTTTTGACGAGCGATGTTAGCCAAAGCCTCAAGAATAGATGTGCCGCTAGGAGCCGGAGGAGCTGAAGTCGTAGCGGGAGCTGGAGCGCTGCCATGCTGCGAGCCTAGCACATTGGGAGGCGGGCTACCGTCAGGGGTGGTCGATTCATCTATAACATCACATGGGTTAGACTACAAGTTGATTCGAGACAATAAAGCAGTACCGCTTGGGCATATGAAGCCAGGCGTGATACTGCTTGCGTGAAAAACGTACTCTGTGGTGGTGCATTGAGCTTCTCTCTAAAAGATTCGAGCATTGGTGTAGGGAACGTCTGGCCCTTCTCCCAGATATCAAGGAGCTTCTTAATTTTTTCCTACACGGTGGATTATGTGTGAGTTACGATCCAAATAAACAGTACGAAGGTCAAATATGTCAAGGAACGAAGGTCGTCAACAGAAACGCCTTGTAAGGTACTCCAATGTGCGCGGCACGTGGCAGTGACTGGTTGCCAGCTACATGAGGGTGATAGTCAGATATGCGTACCTTTTGTTCTTCCGGGGCGGATTGCAGAATGTCATTCATCAAAACAGGCATGAGTTCTGTCACTCGGTTGACGCCAGCGGCATAGGTTCCATCCGGGGCAGAGCTGTTAATTGCCTGTGCCTGTGCCTTGGCTTGCTCGAGCCATTTCCGGGTTACAGAGTCTACGACGTAGAGTACCCCCAACTTGTGTGTTCCCGGCGTCTTTTTGAAGTGTGTGAAGATTTTCTGGATGAGGACGGATTCGGCCTGTTGGGACAAGCGATTAGCGGTTGTTTGGCATTGAAGCAAATGGAGATGTTTGGTTCAGCCTTACCTGGATGTTGGAAACGCAAAGAGACGTGAAACTGGTGATGCGAGATCCGGACACACCTGGCGGCTTCAAGTTGAGCATAGCCTGGAGACCAGCCTCCAAATCCGCGACTGCGGACGCCATGGTGATTTGTTTGAAGTGCTTGTATGGTAGACTGGAGTAGTCGACGAGCTACGCGTGATGCCTCAAAATGCGATGCACTCCAGATATGATCCGACAGCGAAATGACCAGAGGTGGACGATACCACTTGAAATGAAAGGCCTGCAGCACAAGAGGGAGGCGAGGCCAAGGTAAGAGATGCAGAAGAATATTTCTGTCTGAATCAAAATTTCCTTGTCGCTTTATTCAGGTACGAAAGCTTAAGCGGGTCCTTCCTTCCTTAGGTGGGCAGGTAGAGATTTTTTCTTTTACGCAGTCGCGACTGGCGAGATAAGGAGTAGTAAGCAGTACGAGAGTAGTCCCAGTTATTGTAAGATAAAGTAGGTAATGTATCAGCTGGAAGTATGCGACGCAAATACAAATAGAGAAGGCAGGCCTCAGGAGTACGGGTACGACTTGTGCGAGAAAGCTCTTCTACTGTTTGCGTCAGGAGCGCGACGAGTCACGAGATTGTGCAGTGGGCGATAAAGCCAACAGAGATCGTCAAACGAGGAAAAGTTGTCAGTACTAGAGACAGGGTCGGATAATAACTGCACTGGCGTTGTTTGCGTGTTCGCCTCGATGGGCGTTGTCGTTAAGAGTGATGCTGCTCTTTTCTTGGTTTGTGAGATGATGATGGATGAAGTGGGAGGAGAAAAGCTGAGGCGAAAGAGCGTGACAGGTGGGGCAGCCTTTTTAAGTGTCGCAGTTTGGTTCCAGGTCACTCAAATCTTTATTCCGGGTTTGGGTTTGGTGGTCCTAATAGTTTATCCGGTACCAACCCAGAAAAGGAAAGCCTCTGAACCTCAACCAACACCATGACCGTTGTGTCTGGCCAGCCTTGCACTGCAGTAATTCAGGCATTCACTACCGATGATGAGACAAAGCAAGGTAGTCCCGTTCTCATTTGTAACCGAGCCGTGTTTCCCAGGTATGGCTGTTTCTTGTTTATCACAGATACTGCACCATGTATACTATATGTAAGTTACTGGGCATAACAAATCAGTGGAAATAACCGTAACCATGTACGTCTGACTTATCCAGTTATTATATATTCACGCTGTAAGCTCTGCTGCTCGAATGCAGTCTCAACCAATGCCTGTATGCCAATCTGCAGTGAGAGCCAAATACAATTACCTATTAGAAAACTTAGATTCATATATGCTTTGCAACCACTAGGTTATCATCCAGTGTACATAACGGGGACTTATCAGGGTTTACAATCAAGAACCTTCTCTTCTTTGAGGGGACGTAAAGTGTTTTTTATTGTGTTTTTTATGTTTTATCCACATTTGTGACCACCATTATTGATATAAGCCTTTGGGGGGCTAACACAGCAGCTTAATTATATACCAGTGAGAATCAGGTTGGTCGCATTATCGATAAAACTATATATTTAATGGCTTAATTATTGAGAGTTGATATTGGCTACAGGAAAAATAGAGTCTATTCTGCCTGAAAGAGGGAAAAGTTAATGTGTTATTTTGACCCAGTGGCTTGAATCTATCCTACGGGATGTTGAAATAGCCGACGACATGGATGAATAAATGAAATGAAATGAATATCATGGTTTACATTTCCGGTTTGAATCCGTAACAAGCTTTTAGTGTAAGTGGAGTGCATGATACCCTAGATTAGGACACAGACAATAGGCCAATATAAGAGAAAGCAATCCTGTAAATGCGCGATTTCTTGTTGATTTTATGTAGCCTGTACGTAAAACCTGATGAAAAGCATGCGCTTCGGCCAAGATGCTGCGGTAATAAGCATGCTATACTGTTTGAATCACGGATGCTGGTCTCCTAGATCATGAAGCGATATGCGAAACGAATGGCTAATAATTAATAACAGATCATCGAGGGATCCACGATACATGCATCATGGTTATTCAAGAAAGGTATGACAAGAAACGCCAAGTTATTGTAAGCCATTAGACGGTGCTTAGAGACGACAGCATCACAAGACATAATAGCCGATGTTGGTGGTTTTGAAACAGCCGAGGTGACCGGGCGATCGGAAATACTATATTGAGTTGAGCAGTCGATTCAAACAGGTTTCGCGATCAGATGTGATTATCTTGGAGAACGGCGGTTAGAGATCAGCTGTCCGGATGCTCCGTAGAGACCTCCTACTGGCCGGATGGAAGGGTACGTCGGCAGTCCGAAGCGCTGGCGGCGCTGGCTCGGAGGCCCGGCGATGGATCACGGTAGTTCCGGGTCGTCCTGTCCTCGTGCTTAATTCTAGGTCCGACGAACCCATCTTTGGTTCTGACGTCAAATCACGGCTACATCGATAATGGCCAGCATGACCGAGGTCCCACGAGCAATGAACCAAACAAATGAATTGATTGTGAAGGTATCTCCACTTGTTCTCCCAGGGGCTCGTCTCGGTGGAGCAAAGAGCAAGTCCATCATGGAGACAATATTCGGAGGGGGTACATCAGTTCCGAAGTTGTCATGATGAGGGAAAATTTCGACGCTGAATGTAAACAACAGGGGTTAGAGCCTGGCTGGGTAGATCTTGACTGATTCCTTTTGACTCCATGCTCTCGCATATTCTTAAATATCAATGATTGTTGAGAAACACACAGACAACAACATCTGGTGCCGGGAAGTAGCAGCAATCCCTCCCTCCATCCCTCATCCTGTTTGTTTGTCCTCACAAGCCAAGCCAACGCAACCCCCAGACCCAAGACCCAAGCCTAGACTATCACTAGCTGTTGGGGTTCCAACCTGTCTTTGGGAGGCAAGAATACTTGAGATTTCTATCCTGAGCGACAAAAAAGACTTTAGTAGATGTCTTGCGGCAATAGTGGACATCTGGACCAGTCATTTTTGGCAGCCTCGCTCAAGATCCAAAGTTTTCTTGTTCCCTAAGGCCTGCATCTCGGCCATTTGGGGGAGGCCTTCGAGTGCGTCGAATTGGAGCTTGAGAACGCGGGAGAGGCGACAGGGATTGAGGCCGAAATTTTGGGGCTTGCAGATGCAGGTTGAGGGGGCCCGCGGTAAATGTTCCTCTAGAGTCGTAGCTCACTCACTTTTTTCTGCCTGTGCAACCTCATCAAAATAAGAGGACAACATGGCACCCGGGTTTTGGAGGGGACATATAGTTCCGGCGAGGTACTATCATGAGCAGTGATCGATCAGTAGGCAGCGATGTATCAACTTGAACTGTTCACCTGAACTACTTAGACACCTGCAAAAGGGCAGAACCGAGGACTATTAACGGATGCTACCCAACTGGCAGTTGATGACGGAATATGGCTGGGTGGTATGGTCGAAAAAGAGGGTGCTGTGCTTTGCTCTTACTGTAGCAAGCTCTGATGTAATCGAGGAAAGATTAGATTGAACTTGACGGGCTAAAGTCAATTCTCCAACACACAAAAATGACGATTTCAATGACAGCTATCGACCTAATGAAACGCTGAAGCTCGTCAACCCCGCAAAGATACCTCTCCTCTACGTTTGGCAAACAGGTATTTACTTCATGATTTTAAGGACTGAAACCCCAGTAACAAAAGCAAAACAAAAGCGTTGTCCCCAGAAACGTCACCCCTGGTAAATCGGCGGAAGAAAAAAAAAAACTGGCTTAGGCTGTCCATCCAACCCCCCTGTAAAAGTCCATCCCGTAGAGCAAAACCGGGCTGTCTGTACTGTATCCTGCCCCATAAGTCCCGCTCCGCTTGATGCTTGATGCCCCCCATACCCCCGGCCCCCGAGGTTCAAGTACTCACAGCTACGGTAGAGCCAAGGTGAGAGGACAATGTCACAGAATGAAACGGGGTAGTCTACTTTTTTTTTGTGCCTCCCTCTCAAGCTTGCGCCTTTTTTTTATCGACTGGACCTCTTGGCTTACTTGAACCTCTTCCTCCCCGTTACCTAACTTAACCTACTTTTTCCTCCCCTCCACTCTATTCTATCCCTCATATACCTCTCCTCTCCCCTCCGGCATCTCCGCCTCTTGTTCCTGTTCTTGCTTTTGCACTCGTATCTTCTTCGTCTGCATAACTATCTCTCACAATGGCTTCTGTCGCCCGTCTCAGCAACGCTGCCCTGCGGGCTTCTCTCCGCTCTTCTCCTATCAATGGCTCTGTCTTCAACGCCGTTCGATGCTATTCGGCCAAGACTCAGGTAAGTTAACCTCGGATAAAGCACAAGCCCAGGCTTCATGGATCCTAAAACGTCATTGACGTTGCCCATTGATACTCATGATCGCCCACACAAACCACACAACATCATATACTAACGATTATCCTCACAGACCTTGAAGGAGCGATTCGCCGAGTTGCTGCCCGAGAAGATTGAGCAGGTCAAGGCCCTCCGAAAGTCAGTCGCATTCTCCCCTCTCGGTTCATTGTTTGCCGAGCTAGGGCCCACGCCGAGCCTCAAGCTTGCAATCGACGGCAGAACCACCGGCAGTTGAACTTTGATCGCTAACATTCAGATAGGGAGCATGGTTCCAAGGTCGTCGACAAGGTCACTCTTGACCAGGTCTACGGTGGTGCCCGTGGCATCAAGGCCCTCGTCTGGGAGGGTTCCGTCCTCGACTCTGAGGAGGGTATCCGATTCCGTGGCAAGACCATCCCCGAGTGCCAGGAGCTTCTCCCCAAGGCTCCCGGTGGCAAGGAGCCTCTTCCCGAGGGTGAGCTTAACCCATTCGCAGTGATGCGCACAAAACCTCGCAATATCATGAGTACTAACATTAAACCGCGCAGGTCTCTTCTGGCTTCTCCTGACCGGCGAGGTTCCTACTGAGCAGCAGGTCCGCGACCTCTCCGCTGAGTGGGCTGCCCGCTCCGATCTTCCCAAGTTCGTCGAGGAGCTCATCGACCACTGCCCTACCGACCTTCACCCCATGGCCCAGTTCTCTCTGGCTGTCACCGCTCTCGAGCATACCTCCAGCTTCGCCAAGGCTTACGCCAAGGGTATTAACAAGAAGGAGTACTGGGGTTACACTTTCGAGGACTCCATGGACCTCATTGCTAAGCTCCCCAACATTGCTTCTCGCATCTATCAGAACGTCTTCAAGGGCGGAAAGGTCGCTCCCATCCAGAAGGACAAGGATTACTCCTTCAACTTCGCCAACCAGCTCGGCTTCGCCGACAACGCTGACTTCGTCGAGCTTATGCGTCTCTACCTCACCATTCACACCGATCACGAGGGCGGAAACGTCTCTGCCCACACCACTCACCTTGTCGGCAGTGCTCTCAGCTCTCCTTTCCTCTCTTTGGCCGCTGGTCTTAACGGTCTTGCCGGCCCCCTCCACGGTCTTGCTAACCAGGAGGTCCTGAACTGGCTCACTGAGTTCAAGAAGTCTGTCGGTGACGATCTCAGCGACAAGGCCATCACTGACTACCTCTGGTCCACCCTCAACGCCGGCCGTGTCGTCCCCGGTTACGGCCACGCCGTTCTCCGAAAGACTGACCCCCGTTACATGGCTCAGCGTGCTTTTGCCCAGGAGAAGATGCCTAACGACCCCATGTTCAAGCTCGTTTCCCAGGTCTACAAGATCGCCCCTGGTGTCCTCACCGAGCACGGCAAGACCAAGAACCCTTACCCTAACGTCGATGCCCACTCCGGTGTCCTTCTCCAGTACTACGGACTTACCGAGGCCAACTACTACACCGTCCTCTTCGGTGTCTCTCGCGCCATTGGTGTTCTTCCCCAGCTTATCATCGACCGCGCTCTCGGTGCCCCCATTGAGCGACCCAAGTCCTTCTCCACCGACAAGTGGGCCGAGCTTGTCAAGAAGCTGTAAGGAGTTTAAAAATGAAAGGGAAAAACGAGATGGGAGGATAATGCTCAAAAGATGGGCAGAATGGATTGCCAAGTTAATGGCATTTGTACAACACAATGGGACTGTTTTAGTTTAGTAATGAGCAAGTCGTCGCGGTGCGCCGATTGAAATGAAATGATTTAACAGTTAATCTGCAATTTTCGTGTCTACGGACTGATACCAATCATGACTACGATCGAGCTCTTTGCAAATATGATTGAGCCAACTGTGTGTTGCCATACATCATGTTCACCAATACCGTGATGGCGTCGTTGTTTCGAACTTTTTTGTCTTCGGTGGAGACGGGAATGTTGACCCCATGAAAAGTTCGTTACATTAGCCAGCCTCGCAAGCCGGGACAACTCACCTGTCTCACCAGTAGAAAGCCCATGCTTCTGGTTCAAACTTTCAAGGAGACTCAAGAATTGTTGAATTCTCTCTCCCATCTGCAGAAAAACCCTGCATCGTAAATGTGACAAGTGAATAATATGTACGTCACGTAGTCTCGGTGAGAGATTACACCGACAAAACTCCATGTGGGATCCATCCATTTCAGGGACCCGAGCTCTCAACAGTCTAGACATTCCTTCAATCGGTTGGGTGGTGGAGGGGCGTTGAGAGCTCCTGGCCCCTCTAATTCGGCGCCACAGGGGGACGAAAATAGAGGTAAGAGAGCTGTGATCTTCGGGGGGTGGCTGAGGTTATTGCCCGATGTGGAAGTAAGAGAGCTGCGAAGCTGCTGGATTGATTGTTGAAGATGTATGTTTCAGGGTGTAGTGAAATGTTTGCAGTTTGCGAGTGACAGTGAACTAGGTTGGCTGTCTAGGCTGTCAGTTGTTGAGGTCTAGATTTGAGAGCTTATGATAACTGTGCTCAGCAGTTGTAAGCAATCTCGATCTTGTGGTGTGAGTGAAAATACGGAGAGCTTCAGACGTGGGTGGGCTTGGTCAGTCTTATGAATGAAGAAGTTGAATACAAAGAAGAATCTAGAAAATCACTATCACAAGCAAATCTGCTCCCGCGGGATCTCTCTGTCGGCCATTGAACCCCAGGCCATCCACCCCGGATTCCGATTTCACATGAGATCCAATCCAATCCACGGGAGCTGATCTGATCTCGGTGACTTGATCTCGGCGATCCGAGACTTCGGAGCTGGAATCAAGTCGTACAAGGAAGAGAAGTCTCCGAGGAGGGTTGATTGATTATTCGGAGAAAGGTCAGCATTATGAAAAATCACTATAGATGATATTTGATTACATTTTCTTCCGTTTCTTCTCGTTGTTTTCTAAGAATAGTGATGTGGCTCTCAGCTTGTTGAATAGCGTCGTCAGCCTTATAAACGTGCCAACATGAGTAAGTACAGTGGCTTCACCCGAAATAAACGAGAAACATACACCGAAACACATGCAAAACATGACTGATTAACTGAGCTTCTCTCTAAGCTCGGGTCTTCTCGCGCATGCCAATCTCCATTTACAGCTTCAACCTCGGCGATTGACCTCCGCAACCGCAGGAAAACCCCATCTATCGTTGGTATTTCCCCTCCGATAAATCGGCTACTTCTCCGGGGTCTCCCCCAAGCTTATTCTGCTTAGCCTCAGCTCAGCGCTTTTGCAGCCATCCATTCAACTGTTTCATTGGATCTGACTCAGCATTTAGGTGTGCTTCGATACCGGTACGTACCAACAGTCCCTCAATCCCTAGCTCTCCCGGGTACTGCTCCTTCCCCCCACGTAAACCAGTCCCAGCACAGCACACGCCTCTAGCTCTCCCTTTTCCCTTTCTTTCCCGAATTCTTATACACTTCTTTTCTTCCTCCTTCATCAACCTCTCTCAATACTTCAACGATCCCCCAAATTTCCCCAGCGACGAAGCACCCTAATCCCTTGGTCAGGGCCCCTATTCTACGACACTCCCAAAGTCATGGCTGCTACTATCCGTACCGATCTTCCAGCTCCCATTGGGGACAAGCAGCTGGAGAAGAAGCCCATCAAGTTCTCCAACTTGCTTCTCGGCGCTGGTCTCAACCTCTTCGAAGTGACCACCCTCGGACAGCCTCTCGAGGTCGTCAAGACCACCATGGCTGCCAATCGAGGTGACAGCATGGCTGCGGCTTTGGGACGCGTCTGGGCCCGTGGTGGTCCCCTGGGCTGTAAGTTGATAACCACGAACTCGCCGCACTTATGACTATTTACTGACTCACATGTTGCAGTCTACCAAGGTCTCATTCCCTGGGCCTGGATTGAAGCTTCCAGCAAGGGCGCCGTCCTTCTCTTTGTCGCCTCCGAGGCCGAGTACTACGCACGTGTCGCTGGTGCCTCTGAGTTTGGCGGTGGTATCCTTGGTGGTGTCACCGGTGGTGTTGCCCAGGCTTATGCCACCATGGGTTTTTGCACCTGCATGAAGACGGTCGAGATCACCAAGCACAAGATGGCTGCCACCGGTGTCAAGCCCCAGTCTACCTTCCAGACCTTTGCTGAGATCTACCGCAAGGAGGGTATCCGTGGCATCAACAAGGGTGTCAACGCTGTCGCTATCCGACAGATGACTAACTGGGGTAGTCGATTCGGTCTCAGCCGTCTCGCTGAGGGTTGGATCAAGTCCCTCACTGGCAAGAAGGAGGGCGAGAAGCTGTCCGCTGGTGAGAAGGTCATCGCCAGTGCTCTTGGTGGTGGTCTCAGCGCCTGGAACCAGCCCATTGAGGTTATCCGCGTTGAGATGCAGAGCAAGAAGGAGGATCCCAACCGTCCCAAGAAGATGACGGTCGGCAACACCTTCAGGTACATTTACGACACAAACGGCATCAGGGGTCTTTACCGTGGTATCGCTCCCCGTATTTCTCTTGGTATTTGGCAGACTGTCTGCATGGTTGCTTTTGGCGATATGTAAGTTTGACCCGCTTTGCTAAGATTCAACCAACACTAACCGCACGACTACAGGGCGAAGACTTATGTTGAGAAGCTGACCGGCGAGTCGGTCACCGCTAAGCATTAGAAGGCGTTTAGGAATCTGGTTTGAAAATATCGCTCATGGTGAGCTTGATGTATGGATTGTCTAATGTTTGGATTCGAATATCTCTGATGTAATGACATAAGCCTGTAAAAAGGCTGTGACAAAGGAGGTGCTCGCGCCTTGAAGATTATCTTTCTATGATAGTTAGCTGTGCAAAGTCATGTACCCTGTGGGTTTGACTTGAATAGAGAAAACAAGTGCACAATGTTTTATTCTTCATTGCTAGTGATGATATTTATCCCGACTCTACGGTTCAAAACACTGCAGAACATTCATACCATATCAGTAAAGAATATCTCAATTCACCAGCCTCTTTACAATTGTTATGGCTTCTTGCTATCATGAAGCTGCCATGATATTGTTGAGCTCGAAGCTATGAGCTCGGGTCGTTTCGGGTCTGAGCGTTGAGTAGTGGGGTCGACCAATTGAGAACAAAACTTGCCGATCTCAGTTCTTGAACCTCATGAGATGAAGCATAATAACTGCAACCTGGAATTGAAACAGCCCGAAGTGCCCATGTTCTTCCTAATTTCACTTTTACGGGGCTATAGGTTGACATAAAATAACACTTGGAAAAATCAACTTTGAATATGTTGTCATTGGTCTAATTAACGACTAAGTACTGCATATAGGACCCCAAGATGCTGTTCAATCACTAGCACTTCCGTTAAGCTTCCCCGTCAAAGCTCATGATTTCTTCATATGTAAAGCCCCAATCCTCCTCAATACTTAGCAACGTAGCGGATTTGACAAGTTCTTTCACTTCACTGTCTTTTAAATGATTCACATCCAAGTCCTTGCTCGCATTCTGAGCATGGATGCTACGAAGACACTCATCGGGTAGTGAAGGGGTCCTAAGCCGTCGCACCGAACGGCGTCTTCTGCCAAGACTAGCGGCCTCGCTATCCTTTTGTCGCCGCTCGAAGTGAGCCAGGAGAGGCGCCGAGGGGTCTTCATCATAGTGAGCTTCTCGGCGGTAGAGGTTGGTGGATTGGTAGCGGGGGCCTTTTACAACCCCTATAACTGGATTTGATGTAAGCTTTAGACATTGGCTGTCTAAATATGTTCGTCTCGAATAATCAGCGATATCTGCGTCTGAAAGCTCATCATCGGTGAGCATCTCATCGTCCTCCCTCTCCGGGGTGGGTGGAGCTGGTTCCGGGTGTGGAATTATGGGTATAGGCCGGCGCCGGCGCCGAGTGGTACCCGGAAGTGTCATCATATGTGACTCTGGGATATCCCGCTCATCAGTTGATAAGATGAAGCAACGGCCTGTGGCATCGCCGATGGCGAGCTTGGAGTTGTCCGGGGAGAAACCGCCCCAAGCGATCGGTCCAGGGGCTGTAAGAATATCGCGGACAAAAGCGTTCTTCAGCTTACGGACATTCCAGACCTTCACCACGCCGTCACTCGATCCAGTGTAGAATCGATCAAGACTCGTATTCCACGCTGTGAACTTGACGCCAGTGTCCTCTTTCTCGCGATCGCCGTAATACTCTTCGATAGGTTTCCCATGTCGTAGCGTATGGATGGGCTTGTCGCCCTGTGCTGTGTCCCATACGTACACCTTTCCGTCCGTACAAGCCGCAGTCACGTAGGCGTGTCCGGGCGAGTTGGGCACAACCGTCAGCTCGTTGATGTCAGACGCATAGCAGTCGAGAGCCTGATGCTGACAAAAGCCTATGCCATTCAAGCGATCCTTATCACGATGAAAGACGTGGACTTGTGTCCTGACATTGCGGGGAACGTTGTTCATGCCCGTAGGTGTTACCCCTACCAGAAAAAGGAGTAATGTTGGATGCCAGGCGACTTCGAAGACGTTAGCCGTCGAAGCTGTCATCACAGGGATTCTAACACCCTGTTCCGCATCCCAGAGGATAATCTCTCCTGAACTCCTCTTGTCCTCGGGAATGTCCAGATCGTCGCCTGTCAAGCTGCGAGGAGAATACCCAACAAGAAGCAAATGCTGACAGCCCTTAGCTCGCCCCCACTGCATTGTTGCTGGGAAGTATGCCCACTTGTCTGAGCCATCAGCGTCAGTTCGTGAGCATGAGAACGTCTGGTAAGTACTGTTCGACTCATTTCCTCTTGTGATTGTGTAGATACGCACGGCATCGGTTGGTGAATCTGCAGCTGTAGCCACGCGACCAGATCCATCCTTTGCAGCAGCCACGAAGTTGACATTACCTGTGTGTTGCCATGTTGCAATGGCCTCCATGTGTTCTCCTTGCGGGTCAACCCTCCATACTTTGACCGTCTTATCAAAACTCGACGTATATGCCAAGTCATCTTCCACGCTGTAGTCGCATGACACAACCGATGAGTACAGCCAAGGGTCCTGGCTCTGGCGCATGGCTTCCGTGGAATTCTCCCCCTTTTCGACCCGTGGACGAGGTATGCGGTGATCAGGAAAGGACCGCAGCGCCCCCTTTCCAGTTGAACAAAGAAGCAAATTTCCAGGCCTGTTGTACTGTTGGTTATGCGTATCGGAGTGTGTAGTAGTGCCACAAAGAAAGGTCTCTCTCGAGACCCATGCACCTGTGGTGATATCACCAGCGCAATTGGTGAACTCAGCTACGACCTGGAGATCATCCTCGCGCAATCTTTTAAATTCGGCTTGGAAGTTCAAATATTCCCTGGTTCGTTGGAAGCCCTGGTTGCCTTCCATTTCTCGAGCCATCAGTAAAGAAGAAAGTCTGCTAGTCCTTCTCATTTGACCTTGTCGTTTTTTTGTCTCCTCCGTAACATGCTCAGCAGTGAATGAGAGGACTCGTGGTGTCTCTGCGACCTTTCCTGCCCACAGGTCTGAAGCAAAAGCGCTCATGTCTCGTATGGTTCGTCCAGGTATCGGTATCAGAGGGCGGTTTCGTAGTCGGATCTGCTCCATCAAAGAATTGCGGGTTGCCGGTATGTGCTTGTTCTCATTTTGTGATATTTGGCCTATAATCTCGGCGATCTCCTCAGGGCTGAAGTCCACATGATAGACAATGGGCTGTGCGATAAGTTCACTGTTGACAGCCACCGGCTTCTTTGTTCCCTCTTCAATAGCTTGGCGATGCGCTGCCGAAAGATAGGGTCGTTCGGAAATCTGGTAATAGCGGTTACTGGGTTTCGCTTCCCGTCGCTCCCGAGGTTGATAACGCTTCCTATCGACATTTTGAGAAACCTCTGGTTGTGATGTGAGCGCGTCGTAGAATATCGGAGAGTCCCGTTCTTCGGACTTTCTCGATACTTCGTTGCTCACAATCGTCGGCGGTGTTTGCCCTCGCGGCTGAGGTTTCGGCTTTGGCCTCGGTGGTGGAGAGAGCTGAGGCTCTGGTGTCTCTGAAGATAGAGGGGATACGCGAAACTCCTTGTAATTGTTAGCAAAAAGCTCCAGCCGCGGCTTCGTCACACCCACAGAACCCCCTGCCAGACCCCTAACAACATCATGCGCCTGGATCGCAAGCACGTCTAGGTCCTGCTGACTCAAGTAGCCACCTGTCTCGTCCCATCTTCTCCTAAAGAACTTGTTGATGCTGAGCTCCGTCACCGTCTAGACCCATAGTTAGCCACAGAACTTTCCCATATATAGCCTTCTTTGTTACCTTAATAGCCAGGGCGTTAACGTGGTAAACATCCCTCGAGAGATGTCCAACAGCCCTCTCTACAAGCGGCGTAACCTGGCTCAAGAGGCACTCTTTGACGCCTCGCTTTCGCTGTAGGCCTGTACTAACTCGTCTCCGTTTCGGAGGTGGTTCATCGCAGGGGACCGGGAGGCTATTTAGAATAGGTAGAGGTATAGGTGCATGCGGCATGCCGCCATGCTTGACGAGTGACCTTGTAATTGTTGTTGTTAGTCCAAAACCCATGAGGAAACGCGTTGAGGATTTAAATAAGAAAGGAAAAGGGCCAGAAATATGACGTTTAACGCGTAAAGGACGTGAATCACTTACTTCATAGCCCCATTTAGCGTTGATGTGGTGATAAGGTGGGTTACAAGCATTAGAAGAGTGTCTAGTAAGCCTAAAAAGGAGAATCTATTAATCCGAGCTACTAGTATTAGTTAAGTTAAAATAATTATAAAATTTTAAGTTATAAGTTCTTTAATATATAAATAAGCTTAATTTTACTATTTAGAAATTATAGTTTTTAAAAAGCTCTATAAAGCTTTAAAAAGATATTATAATAAGTAAAAACTAATATAAATTTATAATTACTTTTAATAAAAGCTCTTAAATATAATATAAAATAATGTTTTAACTATTTATAGATAGATTAAAAAAAATCACAAACACTAGCTATATAACACTTTTAACAGTTAATTATTAGCTACAAAACATTTTAAAGAAGTGAGGAAGCATCAATCAATAAGTAAGGTAGCTCTATACATTGATGGTATAATGTAATATTCATTTACAAGTTCAAGCCGCTCAATATCTTCAACATATACAGAAAATCTGAAATGCAGCTCTAACGCCAAGAAGAAAAAACATCTTTGAGCTGATAACCGCAATATATTTTACAGCTTGTTCTTTCCAACAGGCTCCTGGGCAGCAAGCTCCTCATACATACGGTCAATATGCTCCCTGTAGGCCTTGGCGGCCTGGGGGCGCTTAAGCTTAAGCCTAGTAACAGCGTTAGCACATATACTCCAGAAGAGACAAAATTAGGGGGAAAACTTACGTAGGGGTAAATAGACCGTTGTCGATGGTAAAAGGATCAATTTCGAGATGGGCATTGCGCACCTTCTCGAAGCTGTTGAACTTGTGCTTCTTGCCAATACCGTCAAGGACCTTGAGGAACTTGGCTTTCACCTTGGGGTCGTTAGCGGCGACGCGGAGATCAGCCACCTGGTTGGGTGCGATGGTCTCCTGGAGAATCTTGCTAGCGAAAGGAGCAAAGTTCTCAACGTCGATACCAAATATAGCGACCAATGAGGACTGAGTACCATCACCGTGAACATAGGCGGCGTTGATGAGGTTGGTGCTACCCATGTAGACGTTCTCAATGCGCTCAGGGGAGATGTACTCACCCTGAGCAAGCTTGAGAACGTTCTTTTTGCGATCGATGATCTTGAAGCGGCCCATCTTGTCAACCTCGCAGATGTCACCACTGTGGAACCAGCCATCGGCGTCGAGGGTCTTCTCGGTCTCTTCAGCGTTCTTGTAGTACTCGCGGAAGATGACGGGACCGCGGAGAAGAAGCTCACCACGAGGGTTAGGCTTGTCATCCACGGTGTAATCAAACTCGGGAACCGACTCGAGGCAGAGTTCCACACAGCACATGGGGCCGCCGATGTTGCCGGTAGTAAAGTCACCGCGTGCCTGGATAGATCCGACGGCATACGTCTCGGTCATGCCAAAGCCCTGGGCGAAGTGGTTCGCGAAAGCGGCGCGCAGGAACTCTTGGACATCAGGATCAAGCTGGGCACTGCCACTGACCATGCTGTGGACTCTGTCCATGCCCACAGCGGCCTTGACCTTGGGGGTCCAGATTCGGTCGTACAAGAAGTGGGTGTTGGAGGCCTTTCCGGGAGGGAGTCGCATGTTGGCCTTCTTGGTATCAATGACACGTCGTGAGAGAGCGCCTCGGACACCATCGGCTTCAATAGTAGCAGTGCGAATGGCGGAGTTGAACCGGTTGAAGAGACGAGGAACTGAGATGAAACCAGTGGGCTTGAGGATCTTGATATCATCAACCAAGCCCAGAATGTCACCTCGGAAGAAACCAATGGCAGCACCCTCAGCAACGGCGATCTGATCGATGAGTCGTCCGTAGATGTGAGCTAGAGGTAGATAGGACAAGTGGACGTCCTTGCTGCTCACATTGCCATTTGTTCGACCACCCGCGATGGCAGAAACGGCGTTCCCGTGGGTGATGAGAACACCCTTGGGGTTGCCAGTTGTACCGGAGGTATAGTTGATGGTGCAGATGTCATTGCGGCTGGGAGCACGAGGAGCACGTCCAGACTTGGCACCAATCTCCTCAACCTGAGTCATGGAGTAGATCTGGATGCCATGTTGAGAGGCAATCTCATTGAGGACAGAGGCCTTGGTGTGAGAAGCCAATTCACCCTGCTCAAGCGGATCGAGAGAGACGATGAGCTTCAGACCAGGTAGCCGGGAAGACATCTTAAGAAGAACAGGGATGTGGGGGAGGGAGCAGACAACGCAGGCGACCTCGGCATGATTGATGATATATTCTGTTGTGTCGGGACCAAGAGTTTCGTAGAGAGATACCGAGTAAAGTGATTGAGAAGCAATACCGAAGTCTAGTAATGAGTGTCAGCAACTATAACCACATGCTCAATGTCTCTTATGCAGGTTCACGGCACAAGAGGGGCAACCTTACCGGCGATCTGCCACTCAGCCCTGTTTTGCGACCACAAACCGACACCGTACTTTTCAGGGGAATAGTTGATGGCCTTGTGAATCTCGACGAGACCGGCACCGAAATTCTTCCTTCGGACGTCGAAATCACCGTAGTTGATCCAGTCGTATTTGTCCTCCCACTGCTGAGTCGCCTGGTTCCAATGGCGGGTCCCGAGACATCTCGAGTTGGGCCACTTGCGCGCACTCCTCTCAAGGACGTCGTGTGTCGAATTGATACCAGGCTCTAGCGCTGTGACGAGAGGACCATCGCCGACTGCCCAGTGTCTGTAGGCGGCGGTGCGGTTAGGTCGTTCTGTACCGGGGACGGGAATACCGTAGGGTTTTCCGGGGGGAGGGACAGTGGTGAGCCTCTTGTATAGGGCGTCGTAGTCTTTTTGTGTCTGGAGAGCCATGGTGAAGATCGGAGGCGAGGAGTCAAGTTGTTGGAGGGGTTACAGTTCTGGCGAGGCGAGGCGAGGCGAGACAAGGACACAAAGACACGGAGCGAGTCGATTGCTGCGGGGAGAGAAGTATGCTTGGAGCTGTTCTGTTACCCAAGCGAGAGAGTGAGTGGGATGAAGACAATGGGTTGGTTGGTTGAATGCAGGTATTCAGAGGAACACAAGCACAAGGAGCCAGTTGACTGATCCCTTGCAGATAATTTACTGGTAAGGCTCAATCCCACAATGAAAGCAAAAAAGGGAGGGGAGAGGTAGGAAAAGAGGAACGAGATTAGGATTGGGGTTTTTGAAGAAATTCAGTTCCAAGACTTTCTGGACAAGTTTCCGAGCCTGGCGAACGCCATCAAGTTAAGCGCAAAAGTGGAAGAGCGCAGACCGAGGCGCGTTGCGCAGTCTGGTACGCCATTACGCCCATGTGCCTCGGCAGCCCCAGATTTCGTGGAGTAGCACAGGCCTGTAGCTAGCAGAATATGGGATAGCGGCACTTGGAGAAGACCTGGGGGAGTTGATAAATTCCCCTGATTCATTCATTCCCCCGCGATACATCCATTGATACAATGTCTCTTGAATCCTTGAGGCGCGGGACGTGGCCCTTTTTGAGTCAAGTGAACCGAGGATGTGATTATAGCATCCACAGTTGAAGCTGTGTATGGGGTTTATTGGAGAGAATGCGGGGGGACAGACTCATACCCTCTAAATCTTCAATCAAACCAATAATTCAGAGCAATACTTTCAGCTCGTCAGCACTTGTGTCTATGGTTTAGAGGCACATCAGCAGCCAAGATACACAGCCAAGAACGAGAAGCAGCACGAGTAGGTATCACCAAACTATACATGCGTAACACATCAGAATCCATCACTGGTTCTCCTCGTAAGCACCTTGTTGTACCCTCCGATCCAATTCAATGGAAGGAAGGCTCGGGCGTCCAACGGACGCTAGCTATCCCGAAGACCTGGAGATCACTGTCGTCAGCTGCAGTTGGTCAGTTTTCACAGACCGGTACGTTCGGGCCCTTTAGCTTTTTTCTTCAAGGTTTTCGGTTACATGTGAATATCCATCGATGACAAAAATGTGGCTGAATATTGGACTGAATTGGCTCTTGGTGTCGCGGCCTGCTGATCTGTCGCTCCTCGTGATCCCTACCATAAGCAATTTTCTATTGGGTGTTATATACCCTTGCGGATTGCTATGTATCTTGCAACCGTATTCAGTTCTTGGTGTTTCGCCCAACACTCCTCGAGTCTTCCTACATTTTACCGCAAGGAGACTGATAAGTGCCTGCAACTTTAAGCGAAGTGTTTGACATCTGGCTCTCTTCAACATGCCTCATAGTTCTCTCTCCCTGATTGGACCAGCCTGCGCAGCCATGAGTTTCGAACACTCCAAACTTCATTCAGCTCGCTAAGAATCTCTTTCTTCTCCCATCATCTCTAACCGAGTCTATTTCTATGCTTAAAAACAACCTCGAAACAAAAACTGCTTCACTGCTAACACGTTCAGCCAACTGACACATTGACATTCAATCCTCGAAACGACGTCATCACCATCAATTATGGATCACCTTACCTAACACCAACACTTTGTTCAGTGTCAAAGCGGCTCGCGTCAACACGTGCACTTCTTGATGGCACTCACGACATTGGATGAGTTGGCATAACCCGTGCCGATCACCATCACAAATTCGTCAGAAACAGCGTATCTGGCGCCAAAAGCATGCCATCCATCAATGCTCTCCATCGCAGACGTTGTATTCGGCGCTTGTCGTCTCGACAAAATACACCCGATAACGATGGATCGAGTGATCTTTTCAGTTCAATTCGAGTTGAATAGCCACATTGGGACATGAAGCAACAGTAATCCTGCGACAAAGATATCTGGCCTGGTAAAAGTTACCACGTTCTTAAGCCTCCTTTTCAATGTCCCAAGGATTAGCTGCTTAGGTATGCATAAATCCAAGATCTACCGAGATCTACAACAAGCCCGTCTCAAACAGCGACACTCGCGGGGTTTCCCTTTTGGAAATTACAGTTGTTTTATCTACATGGAAGTGTTTGATAAGAGAAGTGTCCCTTTTATGCGGTGGACGGTGGCGGCCCCTTACCACCATCAAAACGCTACGTTACTCGGCATAAGATACAACGACGAAATAAAAGAGGGACTGTTTCATATCGACCTCGACCCTGTCCGTGTCTCAGGCCCCTTTCGTCAAAACACGACCTGATGCAGAGAACCACCTTGACTCGACGAGATTGGACGTGTAATCGTCAATGCCTTTAACCCAAAGTTTCGACGATGTCCTAAAAAAAGAAAAGGCTCACATTCTTTTTTGAATTTGTTCTGTTTTCTTATTAGTGGCCCCTTGACGGGTCCCACGGTCTCTCTCTCGGGCCATCTCCCTTGGATCGTCCACGCCCCCACTTGGTCCCGAGAGAATGTATCGTCAGCAGGTCTTTGGTTTTATATCTATCGATTCCCACGTTTTCGCCCATCGGGCCTATTCTCACGACGATTCCTGTCTTTTTTCTTTCTCTTATCTTATATTATCGTTGGGGCTGAACATACTTGAGTCGTTATCATCTATCACATGAGTTGAACTTGTACTCTTCAACTTTTTTACTCCCTCTCTCTTTCTGTCTGCGCTGTTTCTTGGACTAAATAATATTGCCACCATGAGTCGGACCGCTTTTCTCTCGCTGCGAGCTCTGCAGCTAGCTTTATCTATTGCTAGTATCGGTCTGAGCGCGTATGGTACGTTGATGATATCCGTGATGAACTTCCGTCAGGGTAGGAACTAACAGTCTCAGTTGTCAACGATTATAACCAGCGAAGCCGAAACTCAGCACCATCGCCGTTCACTTATCTCATGGTCTCTTCCATATTCTCGATTATCTCGGTCGCCTATTTCTCACTCACTCCTCTATTCGTACCGCGCATCTACCACCAATATGCCGCTGTTGTCGTCGAATCCGTCAACGCCGCTCTGTACTTTGCCGGATTCATCGCCATTGCCGTGTTCATCGGATCGCTTATCATGTGTGAAGGGACCGTTTGCTCTTGCGCTCGTGCCGATGCCGTTGTAGCTGCGGGTCAGTTCACGGTGTGGATCACAACAACTGCTTTCACTGCCAAGGACTTATTCAAGAAGGCCTTCCAAGAACCCAAGAAGGATGACGAGGGTCAAGAAATGGGACAGGCGTAGGAGATTGACCAGACGGTACATGAACACCACATAACAAAAGCCCGGGATTTGGTCCGCGAATGATGGAATTGAATCTCTATTGGAAAGGATAGATGGGTATTAATGACAGGCGTTTGGGCATTTTTAGGAAAGACAAAATGGCAGTGCTATGCTGAGTAGCCTGGCTATACTGTCAAAGGAGTATATCGGCATGGGAGACATCATACCCAACCTGAATTTCTGGGCTGGAATGGAAACTCGGCGTTTTCTGCGTTATAGTTTCGCAGCCTTCTGTAGCAGAGGCTGATAGTACGTTTGAAATGAAAGTCAAAGAAGCTGTTGAGTTAGACTGGCTTCTGATTCATTCAACCAAAACCATCGAGTTATTTTGTTCGGTCGCTCCGGTGTATGTGAAAGTCACGACATGTGATGTGGACGTCAATAGAGCCGAAGACCCCGAGACTCGGATCAAAAGAGGAAGATGTGAAGTCGTACGAGAATCATCATACTTATATAATAAGCTGAGGTAAGGTAGTCGGCGCCGGGTGAACGGGCCGGTCGGTGGCTTGAAGAGATATGTTTCTCGGTCAGTTTTTCGCTTGTGATGCGATCGAAGAAGAGAAAGGGAATGCAGTGCGTGGTAATTGCACCATTAGACCTGGACTTTGGGTCATGGTGGGGGACATGAAGAGCGGAGGACAACATCATCTGATGTTATATATTGCGTGGGAGGTGCAATACCACGTTCAGCTGATTGGGCTATACACTTGTATCAGGTTTACGTGACATTCTCTCTGCTGCAAAGGTAAGAAGTTTATCTATTTCCTGGAAACCAATCGAGTTCCTGTCCTCGTATTACACTGTACCATTCATCAACCCCGCACATCACCATCATGACAAGCCCAAGTAATTTTACAAAATACGTAATTATTTTATCTCCAGCCGAGAAACAAAATCACAAACGGTTCTCGGCGGTTCTCGGTTATTGCACAATTCATAAATTTGCAGCTGTCAAACGACGATCAAGCCATTAGCTTTCTCAAACAGTGAAGACAGCTCAAGCAAAAGCGTGGGGAGCTCGATGGCGTGCTACGCGGGGTCCTAGTGAGCCATGCCCAAAGAGGCTTGGATACACAAGAATAAGAGCACTTGAAAGTGCATGTTGGATGAGTTGTGAGCGAGTATAAAGGGGAATGGGCTGATCTGTGAATTGCTGCTTTTGTTTACTCTTTATTCTCCTGTTATTCATACAGATTAGATCCTTTGATACGGGAAACGTGATTCATCATGGCTGAGGAACTTAGCAAGAACTTTGAGACACTGCAGCTTCACGCGGGGTATGTTTTATTCATTATTAGCCTCGGCTTTGATGGTGGGCTCTTCCACTGCTATACAGCTGTAGTTGACGGCATAAAATTGTTTACAAGAACGCAACTGACTCGCTTCCTTCAGAGCTGAGGTTGATCCTACCACCAAATCGCGAGCTGTTCCCATCTACGCTACCACCGTATGTTCTCACAAGCCTCTTGACGCTCTCATAGCCTCGCAGCATGAATTGATCACTAATACCGTATTTAGAGCTATGTCTTCGATGACTCTGCTCACGGAGCTAGGCTCTTTGGTCTCAAGGAATTTGGCAACATCTACAGCCGTATCATGAACGTGAGTTCTTGACTCCCAACCCAGCTAAACTCACCACTTACACTACAAGCCAACTGTCGATGTCTTCGAGAAGAGAATAGCAGCTCTCGAAGGCGGTGTCGCAGCCCTCGC